AGCCAATTCTACGTACTAAAAGTCAAGACTGAAAGTTATGCAAACGAGCGGAGACACTGAGAAGCCAGTGAGAGTGCTCTCTAAGAACTCAAAACATTCGAGAGTTTGGAAAAATATTATGACGGCTAAGCCAATTCTACGTACTAAAAGTCAAGACTGAAAGTTATGCAAACGAGCGGAGACACTGAGAAGCCAGTGAGAGTGCTCTCTAAGAACTCAAAACATTCGAGAGTTTGGAAAAATATTGAAAATTGTCGATTTGGCAGAGGGGCATGTGAATTGAAAAAATATTAGTTCAAAAGGAGGTATTTATATGAAGGTTCAGCCAATTCTACGTACTAAAAGTCAAGATTGAAAGTTATGCAAACGAGTGGAGACACTGAGAAGCCAGTGAGAGTGCTCTCTAAGAATCCAAAACCTTTGAGAGTTTGGAAAAATATATATATATATATTTCCGTTTTTTCTTCTTTTTTTTTTGGAAGTCACTTTTTGACGCGAAAATCCCTAGCAAATCGAAAGAATTTCCATTGTGAATGTATTTTCATTTTCAATATATTTGCTTGATAAATAAAATTTTTAATACTTGTAGTACAATTTATTGTTGTAAACTTCACTAGTGCTGCAAAGGCATTTAAATTTCTCATTTGTTCCACTTTGGCATTCGGATGCGGCCTCTGACGAAGCATCATATATTGGTTGATTTAAAATATTATTCAATGAATAATTACATGCAAAGATTGTTATAAACCAATTATTCAATTCAAATTGGATCATTGCACAACCAATTAGATACGCCTGATCTCGAACCATTTGTGTGAAATGACCTATCCTTTTTCTAAGAAAATATAAAACTTATGATTTTTTATCGAAAATAAAAGTGATTTCATTTACCCGATTCTTTTATGTTTTTTTATTACAGTCATGTTTGTGTCTTTGTTCTCACCGAACCATCCACCCATTAAAATTTTCATGAGTTTCACAGGTGCTTGAAATTTTTTACTATTTTTGGTTCGAGCTATATTTTGACCAACATACATGAGCTTGTCTGTGAGGTATAAGAAAAAGAAAACAAATAGAATTGAACTTTCAACAAGAAAAAAAATCCTTACCTGTATTACGACATTTATCATGTTCAAAAATGCATCGACGCACATTATATTCAGCGAATTTTGCAAGCTCATTATTCCATACCTTCGAGTAGATGAAATTTCAGAATTTTTCATTCAAAATGAACGTTTCGTTGAAAATGGAAACTTACAAGCGTTGCCATTCGAGCTGCTTTATTATAGCCTTCAACGTTACCGCAAGCAATTTTGTTTCGGTAGCTATTGTGTGTATTTAGCACAACTTGTTTCAATAGATCAGTAAATACAATAAGAGTAGTATTGTCATTACTTGTGCATTCTTCGCCAAATGTCTTGATAAAAGTTTAGAAACGAATAATATTGACAAAACTTTGGTGAGAAAATGATTTTAATACCCCGTCATTTTCGCAAGCTATATGTTTGGCATTCTTTCTCTTTCCACGACACAGCGACTTTGAACAATAATCAATGGAGAGTGTGACCGTTATAATGCAAAGACCAACTTCGGAATCGAAATAATTAATTGAAAAATAAAAATACGATTTACATGTGTAATTTCACCTCTGCGTTTGATCTTACCAATGATAATACTTCTCATGTTCACCTGTTTTCTAATTGGGGCTTTCGTCTAATATTTGCGTTTGACTTTTTATTTGCTATCGGAAACTAAAGGTGACTATCTATTTTTTGTCTTTTATAATAGCAAAATATAGTCACAAAATTCGTGGAAGCACGAACCAAATTTTATTGTTTTAGATTCACGAGGTGGTTGTTGATAAGAGCAAAAAAAATGGCAGAGTTTCCTTGAAATTAAGTCACATACATTTCGAAAAAAATAGAATAAAGAGAAAGAGAATGTCTTTCGCGTGACGTTTAAAATATCAAAACCTCCATCAAAAGGCGATTAATTAAAATCTTGACAAAGAAAAAAACGTCCGGGAAAAGAACAAAGAATTCAAATCGAAACGTATCGAGTACTCAAACTCCAGAAGTTCTGGAGATTTTCCAGTTTAATTATATGAATATTCCTTATTCATAAACATTTTACAATTTTAATCGTTGTAGTATAATTTATTGTTATAAATTTCATTGATGCTGCAAAGGCATTTGAATTTCGGGTTTGTTCCTGTTTTGCATTCAGAGGCGGCCTTTGATGAAGCATCATAAATCGGTTTATATAAAATGCTGGTCAATGAATAATTACAACCGAAGGTAGATGTATACCATTTCTGTGCACCGAATTCAATATATTGCACCATTGCACAACCAATGGCGTACGCTTGATCCCGAGCCATTTGTGTGAAATGACCAATCTTCTTGCTAATAATTAAAAATAAATAATTGTTAATAATGTATAAAATAAAAAAAAAATTCTTCGTAATTTCACGTACTTTGTTCTAAGATACTGTTGAATGATGCTCATGTTTGCATGTGCTTTTTCACTGAACCAGCCTTCACTCAATAATTTAATGATATTTTCAGGCGCAATAAATAGTTGATTATTCTGCATTTGACCCAAATTTTGGCCAGCATGCAAGAATTTTTCTAAAAAAAAAAAAAATATTAAAAAATAGTATTTTCACTAATTCGAAATTTGAAATACCCGTATTGCGACATTCATCATGACCAAAAACACACTGACGAACATTATATTCAGCGAATTTAGCTAGCTCATCATGCCATACCTTCGTTTAGACGAAATGTCAGATTTTTAATATACAGTACGTTCCATCGTCCAGAGAACGCCATATTTTAAACAAAATACATTAGTTTTGCAAAATTATTTTTATATACATTTTATTAATCAATATTTTATCCAGTCACCGTCTTTCTTGATCACACGGGCACATCTTTTGGGCATACTCTTGCTCAAATTTTCAGCAAATTCGCGTCGAAAACACTTCCACTGCCGTTGTATGAATGCACTGAGCTGCTTCAAATTGCGGTGTGTTTTACCACAAAGCCTTGCCTTAATAATAGCCCAAACGTTCTCGATCGGATTGCAATCGGGGGACTGTAGCGGCCAGTCCATTTGTCGAATGCCATTTTCCTCTTTCCAAGCGGTGCAGAGACGACTTTTGTGTTTTGGATCATTATCTTCTAATAGAAGCCAATTCGAATTGCTGTTGCCATAGAACTTCTTGGCGGTGGGTAACAGTGTCGATGCATAAAGTTGGTTCATCCTCACGGCGTTTAGAATGCCTGTGAATAGGGTCAACTTTCCCAAACCAGCTTCACAGAAGCAACCATAAACATGCACCTTTTGCGGGTGCTTTACCGTGCGAACGACCACTCTCTTTTCGGCTGTGGACCAGGCATGGGTAGTGCTATTCACCAGCCAAAAGAATGATTCGTCAGTGTATATAACTTCGCTCCAATCTCATGTTAAATTTTGGTTTGCCCAGTCAATGCGTTTTTCTTCTGGTTTTCTGTCAAAAGTGATTTCTTCACTGTACTGCGATAATGAACACCGGCGACATCCAATCTTTTCTTGTTTGTGGAGCGCGAGACGTCTGTTTTAAGACGGCGTAGCCGTTCAACACCTTGGCTCAATGACATACCTGGTTTTTCTTCGAACAACTTAACCATCCGTTTATCTTGCTTTGGCGAGGAGGCTCGGTTTGGCTTCACATTGGGCTGATCGTTCACATTTTTTTCACGCTTATACTGCTGGATCCACTTATTTACGAACCCTTTCGACTTTTTAATGTATTTTGCGACCTTTGCTTGCGACCATTGTGGTCCTTCTGGATGCAAATGCAAAAACATTGCTTCAAAACGCTTAGGAAAATATTCCGAATTCATATTTTCGTTGTACAATAACCATTGCACTGATTTGAAAACTGTCAAATTTATTTTCCGTCGTAGCTTAGAGTGTCATCTAGCGACTCCAAAAAGATTTTGAAGATATTTGAATTTTTTGTTTAAAATATGGCGTTCTCTGGACGATGGAACGTACTGTAAATCCAAAACAAAGGAATTCTCTTTAGAAAAGGAAACTTACGAGAGTTGCCATTCGAGCCGCTTTGCCATATCGTTCAACTTCGCCGCATGCAATTCTATTTCGATAGCTATTGTGTGTATCCAACACTAATTGCTTCAATTCGTTGGTGAATTCAATGATATTGGCATCATTTGGACATGCTTCGCCAAATGCCTGAAAAGAAAAAGTTCATTGACAACTACTCTCCCAAAATCAAAGCTAATAATTAAATGTACTCCGGTGTTCTTGCAGGCAATATGCGTCCTCGTTCCACGACACAACGAATCTGCGCAGTGATCAATGGACAGCGTGGCCGTTGCAATACAAAGAAAAGCTTTATAATCGAAATATTAGTTCAGAAGAAAATGGTTTGTAAATTAATTTGAGCTTACCAAGGACTATACTTATCATGTTAATGTATGATTTTTCGTCGCAAGACACTTATGAGACTGATAATTTTCTGGTGTGAACTAATTTTTTCTGTAGTTTGCATTGGCTTTTATCATTTAAAAAAAAATTATACTTTTTTGCCATAAATTCGAATAATTCAACAACAATAATAAGAAATTGTTACTTTTCCCTTCACTGAATCTAAAGTACGCAAATAACAGAAGCTTAACAACTTCAATGCAGTTACTTGACTTTACATATTTGTTCATTACGGCCTTTTTTTATGAAAATATTTTCAGTTCATAAATCAACCGAAGTAATGCAGTGTGCATAGTTTTGTCAAAAGATATTCCACATATTTTGTTGAAATCTATTGTTGGAAAATAACAAAAACTTTTCGAGTAATCAAAATATCCGCTTTTTGTGTCCATTGTATTTCAATGCAAAATATGAAACATTTATTTGAACACCTCAATACGGTAGTTATACGCTAAATTAAAAGAAAAATAAAACGTTTTACAAAAGTCGTCATTTTATCACTGTATTAACATTTTTTTTATTGAATTTTCAGGTTTTAATGTCATTTAACTCTATCATTGTATTGATACAATGTGTATCTTAAGTGTAATTTATTGATTTTAATAATTTCACAAGAAAAAAAAAATATTCACAGTAAATTCCTCTCGGTATTGATAAAAATATCTATTGAGCATGCAATGCATTCGAATTGGCGAATTTCGTTTGATTTTGTTTGCTAGACCAAATCAAAAATAAAAATATGACATTTTTTGTTGACTTTAAATTAAAAAAACAGTAAAAACAAAATTCTGTATGCATCTATAGTTTGTGTATTATAAGGCACACATGTGGAAAATTCAGATCAAAATGTAAATGTGTGTGTGTGTATGTGATACCATAAAAACTAGTAAAATTGATATTATTCTTATGACACGACAAACAATGTCATCTAAAACCTGTTTAGATTCGGACTTGAGTTAATAATCACAATGAAAATTGAATATAATATTCAGTTGAGTTGTGTGTGTGTTTTTTTTTCTATTTTGTTGCACCAAAAACACTATTAAATAGTATTTTTGTATACAATTCTCTTGATTTTATTACATAAATACTACTATTTCTGTGAAATTTTGTTTCTTTTTTTCTACATTTAAAATTGCGCATGAGGAAAATCAATCCGAAAAAGGTCAATATTTATTTTTACTCTCACAAAAATTTGGATTTTTTTTTTAAATTGGTTAAGGCACGTGTTCCTATCCTATGCTCATCACGAGGAAAACAGAATTGGCACAACAAAATTGCAATTTCAACAAACAATAAAAAATATGATTCTAAATACTAAACTAAAAAGAAACGGTTTGTGGGGTAGAGGTAAGCCGAGCTAATGGTTTTGTTTCTCTCTCTCTCTCCATCTTATGTATTTACTAACAAAATTGGATCTCATTTTTAAGTTTTCCATTCGATTACCATTCGATTGTGTATTTGTGTTATCGGACCCGATGGGCGGCATATTTGCAATTGATTTCACTAAATTCTCTTTTTCACATTTTATAACTGATTCATTTGGAATAGTATCACAACGGTTTTCGATTTACTAATTCTCACATATTTTTCTTCATCTTCTTCTGCCTTCCTTCTCTTTGGATTTCTTTGAGTCCAGTTTTATTATAACGGTCTTTAAGTTTAATTAAGGAAAAAAACCAAAATAATGTTCAAAATAAAAACGTTGAAGCATGCAATGTAAAACGTCTATTGTTCCGGATGAATTAAAAAAATATATATTTTTATAAAATGTATTTGCGAAATCTCAATAATAATTTGATTTTTTTTTTTGATATAGTGGCTTTAATGTTCCTTCATCATTTGTTTTTGATTGGATTTACTTTAGTTTTTAAGTGTATTATGATTTCCAACAAAATCAAGTTGAAATTTTTTTTTGTCCAACTTGAGTTGTGTTCATTCATTTCAACGGACATTGAATTTCGATTGTAATTGAAAATTGGTTTCACATTAATTTTTGGGAATTTTTTTTCTAATAAATTCGAAATTTGAACATACTTAGGGTATTATCAAATAAAAAATGTTATCTCATTGAAAATATTCGGTTGGATTGAAACTGAAATTGAATTAACTGCAATTCAGGCGATCTGAAGAAAATTCCAAAAACAATTATCCTATAATCATTTTCTTTATGCTAACTAATATAGAATACTATTTAAAATTTTGAGCACGTTTTAATTGAAAAACCGACAAGTGACACAGTCATTGTATTCTTCATTAAATCGCCTAATAAATCAACACGCGTCTAGATATCTTATATATATATAATTTAATTTGAACTAAACGCTAACAATGTGTGTGTACAGTTTATTATAAATTGTCTCTGTTGTTTCATCTCTTTTTTGCTCATTTCAATACGTTACTAGGTAACAACAATGCTTTATGTACTTTATTTTTGTTCTTTTAGACTAAACTCTTTTTGATTCTTTCGTTTGTTTTACAATCTAAAAAAAATCATGTTGATCAGCATTTTCTAAAATATCTACTACTAAAAACTAGTGTTTTGAACATTTGTCTTTGCGTTCCGCTCAATATGTATCGATTTAAGTTGGATGGGTAGTCAAATTTTCGTTGATGTCAAATTAAAAAAAAAATGTTTGTATGTTTGGGTGAAATAATACATGTAGAAACATAATTCGTTACTACGAAGTGTATCGACACCTGTGTGAACATTCAACAAAATTAGTATAGTCATATTTGAATTGTACATTTTAGTGGTATAAACAATTTTTTTTTAATTTGACATCGACCGTAATTTGACTACCCATTCCTCTGATTAAGATGAATTTCTTGGTTTTGATATATGTGTATACATGTATGAACGACATAATGGCGTCTGAATAAATTATGGTTGGCTTTTTACTTTGAATATTTCATTATAAATTTCATGTAAACTAACATAGGTGCCGGTGCAAAATCCAACGATACCGAACGCTATCAGTAGCATATTTTTCCATAAGACCCAATTGAATTTACCGTAGCCTGGTCGTTCGTAGTATGTAATAATTTCAATGATTGATGGAAACATTAGTCCAAGCGTACTCAAACAAACCGCACCGATCAATGAAATAAATGGACCGATATCTGGAATCGCAATTGATGTAGCTACCGTTCCAACCACCAACGTTATTCGGATCGCATATTCTGCCACATTCTTATTGCTTTCCGAAAAATGGCCGCGTACATTTTTCCAAATAATCTCCATTGGCACATAAAATTGTAGTGCATATGTGAAGAAAATGGCAATGGCTATGAATAATTTAACACATTGAGCAAGCCTATTGAAGAGAGAGAGAGAGAGAGAGAGAGAGAGAGAGAGAGAGAGAGAGAGCAAAAATGAACAATTAAAATAATGATTTTTCAACATAAAACCGATTCGATAACTTACACTTCATCCATTGGCAAATTCAATGTAATGCTCTCTTTTGTTTTGTCACCGTATTTCAAGTAGCCAAAAAATCCAACCGATGCATACAAGATAACAACGAAAGCCATGCCAAAGTTCAAAACCCCTGGACATCCGAGGAAATGTTGTGGATTTTTCATATTATTCTCCAGTGACATAACCACACCAATGCCTTCAAGTGCAAAAATGACCTAAAAATCCAATTGAAATGATTACATGAATTATTCCTAAAATTTCAAATATTTCTTACGGTTCCAAAAAACATCGGTAGCCTATGCCATTCAGCGATCGATTTACGCTCCGTAAGTGATGGTACATCGCCAAATATATAGTACATTGTGATAATGACACCGGTGGCCATAAGTAAATTTGCAAACACCGACAATGGGGCTAAATGCTTTAGATTACGAATCAAATTGATCGGAATCAATAGCGGCAACAAACATAATATGTACAATCGTAGATCCATATCAAATTCAGGATAATAATTTGACACCACTTGTTGAACATTTTTCGCAACAAATGTATTGTACACACAACAGCAGCCAATTAAATCGATCACCAAAAATGCATTGATTATGAAACGCGCAAAGCGTGACCATTTGTGTAAACTTTGTGGACCGGCCAAAAATGCAGTCTCTGCTATATCAGCAAATGCTAACGATGGCACTTGAGCACGTCGACACAATATATGCGAACATTTCACCAAAATATGCACACAATATGTACAAATGATGCCAACCAAAAACGTTGAGGCAAGTCCAAACCATAGGCCACCATTTGCAAATGCCAATGGCATTGAAAGTATACCAGAGCCCAATGAACCCTTTAATAAGTGCATAAGCGTTTGAGAATCACTGCAAAATGAAAAGAAAAAAAAAACAATGAAGAAAATTTATGGATTGCATTTGAACATTTAAAGCCACTTACGTTGTTGGATGTGAAACTTTACGGTGTTGAAAGGGATTATAATCACATGATTCTTCATCACGTGGCAATTTAACTAGGGGAAACGTTGAACCCAACGTCGAACCAGTCACTGTTTGCACATCATTCATCTCGAGTTTGTAACTATGAATTCAATTCGAATCTTTTAGCATCTTGGAAAAAATCAGAGCTTTTCTGAAACTTACTTGGTGAAAACAATGCTGGATAGTTCAGATCTGGATAAACCTTTACGTTGATCACCGTTTGTAATAACCGGCTTAAACTTCTGGAAGAGAAATGAGAAAATAAATATCATTTTGACTTTTATTCTTTGAACACACGAAGTCATTCTAACGATAGAACAAAAGAGACAATTTATATATATATAAGAAGAGAATAAATGCGCGTAGAAAATAAGCTGACATGTTAAAGTATGAACAAATTATATTTTCTGAGTTTGATTGACAAGAGATGTTTCAATGACGTTTTCTTATTTACTCAATTGTTTGGCAATTGCACATCGGACCATGGTTTCATTTCAATTGTGCAATATAATTTGAAAAACAAAAGAGAGAGAGAAATGCTTCCAAAAGAATAAAACGAGATGTATGTATCTCTATCGGTTTTTAAGATAATATCAATATCGCATTTAATTATAATTGAAACTTGGTATCATTTCTAATTTTCACAATGCCAATTTTTACGTGAATAAATTGCGAATTTCGTGAAATTATTTATATCACTTTTATTCAATCCCTCTGAATTAGCTATAGCAATTCATATTTGCCAATTTCTCCTCTATGTATTTCACATCGCAATGGACTCTGATTCGAAAATCAAAGAAATCAAATACAAAACAAAAAATATATATTCTTCGTGGGTTTTGGTCATTATGTGTAGCTGACTCAAAAAGAATCTCACCACATGCACTCAAATTCTTAATAAAAATAAAAATGTATGACTTTTCCGAATGAACACAATTGGCAGTGACACGAGTGTTATATTTATTAAGAGCTGTGTAAGTAAAATAAGTAAAAAAAGCATACGGGCTGTACACGTTTTTTACATAAAAACCAATGATCACGATCCATTTTAGTCTTCATATTTTCATACTTCAAACAAAAATGTGCTTTTTTATTAATTCTGTAAGAGAAAGAGAGATATATTTCAGTGGGTGGCAAGTGGTTTGCCATTATATGCAAATGCATATTATTTATGAAAAGTTATTTAACGAAAATAGATGTGTTCCTGGTGTGTTTTTCATCTTGTAAATTTGGGAGGCGGAACATTTTTAGCAACAAATCCGCTAGTCAAAATGTAAATAAGCAATAAGAAAAAAGTTCTACAACGATTTGATTTCCGTTTCTTTTGCATAAGGTGTTTTTTTTCGCTTTTTCTCTTCAAAAATAGAACAGTGTTCTCACACTTCGATGTGTAATGATGAATGTCGGTTTTTAATCTGTTTTTGTTTTGATTCTTATATGAATCGTGGGTAAATTTGTTTCGCTTTAGTTATGAAATGAAACGTCATCGCGTCGTAAACGACGTCATTGTTTCATTTCACTAAATTCACCAACGTAATTGTTCACATATGTCTATTTTTGTTTTGAGTCTGACGATCACTTGATTTCACGTGAGAAAGTTCAGTAATATACTCTCTCTCTGTCTCTCAAATTGAAGTCAATAAACGAATTCGAAAATATACTCATCATTGTGATATATTCACTTAATGTATATGCACATGATCAAATTCCGTCGATTTATTTTCGATAAATTTACATTGTCACACTGAATGCCGTTCACTTACAAACTCTATGAGAACATTGAATAAATGTGAAATATTCACAGTTAAATTTCATTGTTTTAAAATTCGTACGTGATAGACGATGGCATTCTTTAAGTGATTAGACCATTTGAAATAGTCACATTTCGTTCGATTAAAAAGTCATGGGCACCTCAAGTTTTCTCACATATTTCATAATAATGGTTCTATGATTTTAAAGACGTAAATATCACGCGACGATCATAAAACAATAAAATGCGATTGTTTTAAAAACTCACAAATACGTTAATATCACAGGTTGAATTAACAAAATGCTAACTGGCTGCTGTTACAACCGTTTAAGGAAATGTGTTTCAATCGACTTAACTGCAACGAATTTGGTGCTCACTTTATTGCCGATACCGTTCATTGAATCAATGTGATATTGATAACCATTTTTTTTATTATTTTTGATACTCGATTGATTTATTTCAATTAAAATCAGATCAATCAATTTTTATCTAGAATACTTTGTGACATACAAATAGATAAATGTGCAATGTGTTTAAAGAAACAAATTCGCAAACACTCACTCTTCAATGTCAACCATTAAGTTTTCTTAAATAAACAAAAGAGAGAAAGAGAAAAAAGGAAGCAAGAAAGAGAAAGAGAAGAAAATTAGTAATATCGAAATATGGCGCTTGTTTACTACCAATCGAAATCGATTGTAATTGTTTTCAAATTACCAATTGAAAAATCTATTGATAAAATGGATTAAGATTGAATGATCGTGATTAAACATTTTATTTTATTGATTCAAGTGTTTTGAACTAAAAAAAAATTCTCCAGTGATTGTTATGATACAACAATGTAAATGACGCACGTGATTCTTGATTTATGATGATCGATATGAATGTTTTTTCAGGAATGTTTTCACCAAAAAATACCTGCATTTAATTGATCGATTTGAAAATATTTGAAATGTTCAAGCATACCTTGGAATTTGAAATGGTTGAAAATGATCAATGCATCGACATTGAAAATGAATAATTCCCTTGTGCAAAGTGCAACGAAACCATTTATGAAGCAGATAACTGCATTTGACAGAATGAAAAGTGATAAAAAGTTAAGTGCAATATTTCCATGAATTAATTCATGGGTTAAGCGATTGAATCAAAACAAACATCTTATCGATGAAACATCGAACGATTTAAATGAATTGATGCCATGAACATGAAACGATCGTAACATTTAAAAAATACATTTCATATCTTATCGATGTGAAATCAGATGCTGCAATGATTTCATTTGGTTACTATCTTTATCGGTATGAAATCCATACAATTCCAATTAGCGCACGGGAATTGAGTATATACTAATTAAATGACGGGACATTTGATGTGATTATAGCATTTCCTCAAACGGCGAAGATAATAGAGTTGTTTGATATATGACTCAAACAATGTCAATCACAATAAATGACCGGTTGTCAGAGTCGGTGTTGCACATATTCCAGAGAGTTAGATAGATAGAGACATGTAAATAGATAAATTCAGAAATTCAGAGTATTGTACATGTACTGCAATCTAATAATAGACGAGAGAACGAGTGAAAGAGAAAGAGAAAAAGTGATTTGTAAAATAATGGCGCGCATTTTTACGTAGGCATTATTATCTTGCGGCGGTATGGACAATGTCACAGATTTGTGTTTGATTTGAATTGGATGTAATTGATTGTGACAACGGAAATCGAAGCGCGCAATTTAATGGAACACAAACTCAAGACAAATTACCTTAATCAAAAAGTCTATGGCCAATTATGATGGCGTGTAAACACCAGCAATTTTTCCCCTTTTCTCATTCACTTTCTATCTTGGTTGCATTCATTCCAGACATCGATTTCAATTTTGTTTTAATTTTCACATCTGTTCTTTTTCAAGCGGACGAAATTCATTGCATGCCATTTTCAACTGAAATCAATGTGCGCAAACACCGCCGACAACATTGACATAACGAATCACTGTTGCGTTGCTCAGTCGTTTGTTTTACGCTGATGCCTTTAATTCGGCATAAAAATGTGATACGAAAATAGATTCATTAAAAAGCATGTATCGTGTATTTGTCATGAATATCAGTCCATATAGGCAACGTACGTAATACGCGAAGCGCAATGTGCCAAAATCATCATATATATGAACAACAAGTATCGAGAGAGAGAGAAAAAAAAACTGTTGTTTGCGCATCTCACAGATGCGTTATGGCCGTCTGCCAAAAAAAAACAATATTTTGATATTAATACATATCCATGCGAAGCTAATTCAAATTCGACCGCTGAAAGAGCGTGCAGTGTGGGTGAGAGATAGCGCAAAGAGTAATGTCAATAGTTTTGCAGTTGATTCATTTGAAATTCATTTTTTGGATGAAGAATGTTGATTGCTTTGCTTCCAATTAGATTAAAACTATCGTGTATTTTTGGCATTTATCCAAGAATGACGACAGACCTAAATTGAACCAGTAATGTGCAGGGGAATGAAAATTTCAACATTTCAAATGAAATGGGGGACCTTTTTTGCTCGTCATTTTTTAAATCTGTCATCTCTAAGAATCTCAGCTTGCACATTACTGAAATGAGTGCACATTTCATCATTTTTTTTAATTTTTTCTCTTGCCATTTGTGTTCACAATGAAATTGAAAAATAGCAGTTACCTCGTTCACAGATGAGAGAAAGATTCACGTGCTTTTTGCGTGCACTCATTGAACTATAATAAATTGTTGAATAAAATGAAAATTGAATATCGAAAATCAGTGAAATGTACAGCAACTTGAACTTTATGAGCGGTCAGTCCGATTGCCTTTTTAAGATCACAATATACGAATCGCATATTTGTAGGCGATTTAAATGTTTGCCGTAGACGAATATTGCAGTAGGTGTAAGTTGAAATGTTCATTCTGTCTCTGTCTCATTTTCATTTGTGAAAATGTTTTGATCATTTTGTTTTCGAAATCATTCCTAAATTGAATCGCCCGCACACACACATACACAACAATAAACTCCAAGGGGGGTTGACGTATATGAGATTGGAGACTTTTTTTTGCGAATCTCGCTAATGAGCGCCATCTGATTTTAGTGTGAATTAGATGCAAAAATCAAATTTATTTCAATAATTTGGAATGTATTTGAATGTTATAGTTTCAACACAAAAATTGTATTAAAAATCATTCAAGTAAATCAAATTGAAATTAAATCAATTAAAAATCATTGTACACACACATAAAGCATATAAAATAATACAACTAAATTATAAATACTCACACCATTCTATGGGAACCTAACAAAATCGTATTATTTCAAATTAGAATTATTTTTATTTCATATAAATGATTCTATTTATTTTTTCAAATTCATTCTATTAGAATTATAAATAAATAAATTTCTATTTATTACAGAAAATAATGATTCATTATTAATGAAACAGAAAAAATTCTCCACAATGTGAAAATACGAAGTTACGTATATATTATGACAGCTGTGGTTACGTATACGTCGACATTAATAATCTGTCAAAACCGTAAACACATTATTTTCATAACGCAATTTTGCGATAGTTCCTATTAGTTGAAAAAAATTAAATTTTTGTGTGCAAACTGTAAGTTATTTTGTGATTTTATTGTGTTTAGATTGAATACGATTTCATAAATTTTTGAAAAGTGATTTTACAGTAACAAGAAATGTAAAGCAGAAAGAAAAAAACCAATAAATGAGTTTAGAACGTTTAGAATCATATGCACATTTTCGTGATATTCTAACCTCAATCGCTCTTTACTCTCAGTTTTACATTCTTTATATCAACAATTATTTTATAATTTAAACAGGAAACGCAAAATGGTTTAGTGCGATGTATGCCAGCAGAATATTTCGGGAAACATTTACAAGCACAAAAGAGTTGAGCACAGTTGGGATCGAGGTGGTATTAAATTGATTAAACAGGAAGATAAAACTCTGATCGAAGCTATACAAAACGAAAAAACATTCGTTGGACCTTCGCTGTTATATTTGAAACGTCTCGCAAATTATGCGGTAACACAAAATTTTCAAGCCACATTTTTTGGAGTCGACTCACCAAAACCAGAACTTGTCATTACAACGGGTACAATTGCAGAGAATGAAA